ATATATATCCTATCTAATAATAGACAAACATGGTAATTAACCGTACCTCCGACACGTTTCCCATTGGCTAATCAGGGCGATATGCAAATTAACTGCTAACCAAGATGGTGGCCGGCAGCCAGGCAGCTGAAGCGAACGGGAGGCTTGCTTGCTCCAGTGAAGGAGGAAGCCAAGGTTTCCCACCTGCCACTGCTGGGCTCTGAGCTTGCACTATAAGAAACAATGTTGCAATTATAGAAACTAAACAAACCCCATGCTTTCAGCCAGCCGGCCAACCTGGAGTTGCAACAGTGTTTCAATTATAGAAGCCAAATAAACCAGATACCTGCTTTCAGCAGACGAGGTCCCAGAGCTAGAGCCAAGCCTCAGAGCTAAAGCCAGTTCTCAGTTCCAGTGACAGCCATAGAAGGTAAATAAATCCCAGAATAAAAAAAAAAGAAAAAGAGGTTGGGAGCTTCAGTCACCCACCAGCCTGAAAACAGCCCTCAGCCCCTCATCCAGGCTGGCCAGGCACCCCAGTGGGGACCCCCATCCTGAAGGGGGTGTGACCAGCTGCAAACAGCCATCATCCCCTCATCCAAGCTGGCCAGGCACCCAAGCTGGACCCCCACCCTGATCCGGGACACCCTTCAGGGCAAACCAGTCGACCCCCACCCATGCACCAGGCCTCTATCCTATAAAGTAAAAGGGTAATATGCCTCCCAGCACCAGGATCAGCGGACCTTCAAGGCCTCCCAGCACCAGGATCAGCAGAGCAGCTAGGCCTCACTGCCCCTGTGTCAAGTGGAGCCACCAGGCCACCCAGCACTGGGATCAGCGGAGCCGCGAGGCCTCCTGACCCCTGGAGCAGCATGACAGGGGACAGCGCCCAAACCCCCTGATCGCCCTGCGGCTCTGTGTGTGACAGGGGGGCCATAACCTCCCTATCCGCCCTCTGTTCGTGACAGGGGAAGGCGCCCCAACCCCCTGATCAGCCCTGCTCTGTGCCTGATAGGGGGGAGCTCCCAACTCCCTGATCGGCCCTGCTCTGTCTGTGACAGTGGGTGGTGCCTCAACTCCCCTATCGGCCCTACTCTGTATGTGACAGGGGGCGGTGCCCCAACTCCTCTATCGGCCCTACTGTGTTTGTGACAGGGGGGAGCTCCCCAACCCCCTGATTGACCCTGCTCTGTGTGTGACAGGGTACGGAGCCCCAACCCCCCT